CCCCTTTACCTAAATTCATTACTTCAGACTTATGTGCAAGTGAACGTTGCTTTATTGTTCATCCCAAAGAGGCACAAAATCACTTTAACAGACTTTTACATTAAATGTTCCCTCCTGGTGGAATGACCTGCCCAACTCAATCCCAGCAGCTGAGGATTCTTCATCTTCAAGAATCGGCTAAAAACACATCTCTTCCATCTTTATTTGACCCTCTAACCCTATCACTCTCTATTCTAATTCTATTCTTTATAAAAATAAAAATAAAAATTTCAAACTTGCCCCTTTTAGACTTGCACTCTATTTATTTACTAACTGCTTGTTTTCTTTCAAAAAAACTAACACTTGCTAATCTTTTTGTATTCTATCTATTTGTTTTTAAATGTATTCTAATTCTATTCTTTAAAAAGAAAACTTGTCCCTTTTAGACTTGCACTCTATTAATTTACTTCTTGTTTTCTTTAAAAAAAATAAAAATAACACTAGCTTTTCTGTTGTTTTTGTATTCTATCTATTTGTTTTCTTTTTATTTATTATACAATTAACAAAAGCAAAAAAGGCCTCTAACACTAGCTTGCTCTATTCTTTTTCTATTCTATCCGTTTTCTTTTTATTTATTATATAATTTAAAAAGACCTTTCTAACGTGTACTGCGTTAAGCTAACTGAGACTTGTTATAGCACTTGTATATCATTGCTCTTTTGTTGTTTTTGATTGCTGCCATTTTCCTCATTTGTAAGTCGCTTTGGATAAAAGCATCTGCTAAATGACTAAATGTAAATGTACTATGTTATCATACTACGGACCCTATTCTTATCAGCAAATGTATGCTTTTTTTTTTCCTATAAGCCTTTTTTCTTTTAAACAGTGCTTTGGATCCATATTTGTGAGCTTTTTATTAAAAATATATATATAAAAATAAACCGAGAGTGCAAAACGTTTCTGCGTTGGCCGGGAATCGAACCCGGGTCAACTTCCCCGCGCGGCAGCCGAAAATAGTTGAGCTTAACTTCCCTTAACTTTTCCCATTCATTCTCTATGGTAGTGCTTAACACTACGGATGCAATATATTTTTGGCCACGCGTAGATTTCATGGCGCTGTTTCGCCTTTTCCGTGGCGGGGAATTTAAGAAGCCTAGTGTCATCTGTCAATCATTCGCTGTGAGTGGAGGAGGGGAGATCTCACGATCGGAGAGATATCTGTTTTTACCGAATTGTTGTACAAAACAAAACAAGTTTGCTGACAAGCATGTACTGTCTAAACTACCTTCACACAAGTTGTACCTCAGACCTCAGATTTGGTGAGTTCGGGATCAACGCAATTAAGCTGTCAAGCCGAGAAGGTAAGTTGAATGCTATATGCTATAATATTAACTTACTGTATTGTATATGCATTATCATATAAATTGCATGTATATTCTCATGTAACGGTATTGTTCATTGTGTTGAATGGTTTGTGATGTTAGGAAACATTAAACCAAACTCATTGTTGAAAATAGCTGTTATTTTATATAATTTTATAGTTTCTTTGTAAGAGTGAATGTTTCATCATTGATCTCTTACTATGTACTTAAATTTTTTTTTAGAAAATGAATTTTATAGAAGAGTGAATGTTTCATCATTGATCTCTTACTATGTACTTAAATTTTTTTTTAGAAAATGTAGAAAATGTAATATGATACTCATAATGTAATTAATATGTATTACACACATATATTACATTTAAATTACAAAAAATAGTGTGTGCAATTTAATGGTATAATTTAAAATGTGTGTGTGTGTATAAAACAACATTTTTAATTAGTTAAACTTGTTTTTATATATACATATATACATTTTCATATGAAATATTTTATATACGTACTCACACATATATTAAGTGAATTAAATAATAAATATTAAATAACAAATGTATTAAACACTACTTTAAATTTAAAGTCTCTTATGCTCTAAGGCTGCATTTATTTAGCTAAAAAGCAGTAATATTATGAAATATTATGGCAATTTAAAATAACTCTTTTATATATAACTGCTGCTGATAACTGTCTTATTTCATTATATTAAGTATTTTCATGTGGCTATGATTTCAGAACAGCATCATGAAAAAAACTTTTTTTCCCCGGAAGAGTCAAGGTGTCTTTCAGGCAAGGCCCATCAGGCCATTTACGCAGGGACCCATCAGAAGAGGCCAAAAGAATGAAAGACAACCCTTCATTGCAGGACAAGTCAACACCTCAAAGAGAAGATCTGGTCAGGATGAATGCCCATTCTGTGGTGTTACAGAGAGGAGGGGATGTCTCTGACAAGCAAGAGGTGTTGGGAGAATACATTCTTCAGTTCGGCAAGTACAAGGGCAAGTCTTTCAGGTGGTTACTAGAGAATGATGTCGGCTATGCTTTGTACCTGTCCGATAAGGTTGAGGAAGAAGAACAGGCTGGGCAGTTCAACCCAGAGGGTCCTTGCAAAGATAGCCTCATTTCCTTTCTTGAATACTCAAGAAGCTTTAAGGAAATTGAGGATCTTAAACGGTATCTGTCTCAAAGGCCAGATCCATTGCCAGTTTTGATAGAGGATGACAGTACTGTTGGATTTGGAACAAGGGCACAAGACACTTGGAGGAAAATTTGGGATACCAGGGCAGACGGATATGCTTTCTTTATAATGAAGCAGAAGTGTGTTCCAGGCAGCAAAATGTACAACTTGCAGCAGTATCTTTTAAAACAGCGCTAGTCAGCGCTCTACACCTAAGTGCGGCTGGCCTCCGCGTGGAAGGCAGCTATGCTAACCACTATACCACCAACGCTTGATGGTAATAAGGAATTATCAATAATTTTTAAAGAAAGCTAAACATGTATTTGTTCACTATAAAGTGTTTTTGTGTTGCTCTGTGAGTATAATAACCAATAGTCACATATATCATGATATATTTAATGATATTAAACATGATTTCGTCAATTTCTTCTTCAAATTCATTCAGTTAGCATTAGCCTGTTAGCTGTTGCATTCAAACACACATTCAAACACACTTACAAACAGCGCCTCTCCTCGAACTGCTAATTTAGTCTGTTTTACTCTAAAAATCAAACATTAGATCTTTGTGAATACCTGTGTGATTGTATCTATTTCTTTTAGCGTTTATCTGCTAATATACGTGTGTGATTTGAACAGAGTATCGGGTGTATTTTTGTGTTTTATCAGAAGCTAACAGGCTTTTCATCTCAGACTATTCACTTTTGGATAAGAAATGGATTTATTTGGTGATCTTCCGGAACCTACAAATGATCCAGGTGGGTTAATTCTCACCAGTAATATAATAATATATTGCATGTGTAATAGGTGTTAGAATTAGTGATTTATATTTTAATTTTACGTTAAGTTGTGCAGTTAAATGTGGATACAGTGCATGGCATGCTGCACGAGCCTGGCTTCAATATTACCAACACAAAAAAATTCTATAAAAATAAACAATATTGTGCCTAATTTAATAACTAACGTGTTAAATGAACGTGATTATATTATATATGCATGCATACATAGCCTATTCGCTCGTTTTGAGAATATGTATACTGCAGAATGCGTTGAATGTTTATATGTGAATGCATGGAAATCTGTCTGTGTTTCAAATCCTAGTGATCCTACTTCACAAGTGTGCCTCAAAAATGCTGTCTTGGTAGGCAGCTCACTCAATTTTGAAAAATAGCCTGTATTTATTGATGCAGATGCATGGTTTGGAAGTGGTTGACTTATTTCTCTCTCTTCAGTGTAAGGATTGGTGTTAATGCTGAAGTTTTATTGAACAGGTCCTGTTAAAGCCAAGCAGCTGGAAGAGGGCACAGAGGAGGATCGAGGAGAGAAGAGGAAGAGAGACGTCAGCTCGGAGGAGACAGAGGTGGAAGACAAGAAACAAGAGGAAAAGAAAGTTTGTAAAGGTTTTCAGCTTTCCAGGCACATTGTGTTGCTGATAGAGATTGTGTGTGTGTGTGTGTGTGTGTGTGTGTGTTTGCAGTGAGAGAGGGAAGATCTGTGATGATCTCGGTCTCTTTCTGTTTGTTGTGTTCCAGCAGATCTTGCGAAGCTGACAGGCTTTGTCTCAGCGAGACGCGGTGAACGAGAGGAGATGCAAGATGCTCACGTCCTGCTTCCAGATCTGACATCCAGCATCACCAACCTCCCCTCGCAAGTGTGAGTTTATCTATCTATCTATCTATCTATCTATCTATCTATCCATCCATCCATCCATCCATCGTCTATCCATCTATCTATCCTTCTATCGTCTATCCATCCATCCATCCATCCATCCATCGTCTATCCATCTATCCTTCTATCGTCTATCCATCCATCCATCCATCCATCCATCTATCCATCTATCCATCTATCCATCCATCCATCTCTGTGTGTGTTGTGCAGTTCTCGTCTTGCGTACTTCGCTGTGTTTGATGGTCACGGTGGAGCTCGAGCGTCGCAGTTTGCTGCCGAGAATCTCCATCAGACGCTGCTCAGCAAATTTCCTAAAGGTACAGCCCATCCGCCCTGATCCTCGTCACACTCACAGCTACAATAACTAGCTGTTCCCATAATGCATCATGATTTGCAGGTGATGTGGAAAATTTGGAGAAGCTGGTGAGGAAGTGTCTGTTGGACACCTTTCATCAGACTGATGAGGATTTCCTGAAGAAAGCCTCCAGCCAGTGAGTTCTGCTTTAATTGGTTCTGCTGGATTTGAAATGAAGTGAAGTCAAAACACTGTGTGTGTGTGTGTGTGTGTGTGTGTGTGTGTGTGTTTGTGTGTGTTTGTGTGTGTGAGTGAGTGAGTGAGTGAGTGAGTGAGTGAGTGAGTGAGTGAGTGAGTGTGTGTGTGTGAGTGAGTTGTGTGTGTGTGTGTGTGTGTGTGTGTGTGTGTGTGTGTGTGTTTGCAGGAAACCTGCGTGGAAGGACGGCTCGACGGCCACATGTATGCTGGTGGTTGATGATGTTCTTTATGTGGCAAACCTGGGAGACAGTAGAGTAAAACTGAACTCAAATGTTAATAGTTCACCTAAAAATTAAAATGTCCTCACCCTCAGGCCGTCCAAGATGTAGATGAGTTTGTTTCTTCATCAGATTTGGAGAAATGTAGCATTGAATCGGTGTCTCAGCAATAGATGCTCTGCGGTGAATGGGTGCCGTCAGAATGAGAGTCCAAACAGCTGATAAAAACATCACAATAATCCACAAGTAATCCACAGCACTCCAGTCCATCAGTTAACATCTGGAGAAGACAAAAGCTGCGTGTTTGTTATCTTCAGTCCGTTGCTTCTGGCTAAAATACGAGTCCATAATCCATAATAACGCTTCCTCCAGTGAAAAAGTGCATCTCCTGTTGTCTCTCACATCAAAATCCAGACACATATTTTGTTTAGAGCGGTTTTGGACTGTTTTGTCTTAAGCGGTGCTTGATCTGTGCAGATTTCTCTCCTGATTCAGACCAGACCACTTTTTCACTGGAGGAAGCATTATTATGGATTATGGACCCGTATTTTAGTTAAAAATGTCTTACTGATGGATTTGTTTCAGCTTTTGTCTTCTCCAGATGTTAACTGATGGACTGGAGGGGTGTGGATTATTTGTGGATTATTGTGATGTTTTTATCAGCTGTTTGGACTCTTTTCTCCAAATATGATGAAGAAACAAACTCCTCTACATTTTTGATGGAATCAACATCTACATCTTAGATGAAATGTTCAGCTAATTTTTTGCTGAACTATTCCTTTAAACATCAAATTTGATTATAATTCTTCTGATTTCACTGAAACCACAATGCGAAACATCTTAATGTTTTGTGTGTGCATTAGGCAGTGCTCTGTCGTTTGGAGCAGGCTGAGGATTCTGGGAAAAGGAAGTGTGTGACTCTGGCTCTCAGTAAGGAGCACAACCCCACCATATATGAGGAGCGCATGAGGATTCAGAGAGCGGGTGGCTCGGTCACGCAAATGCAAATCTAAAAAACAAAATAACAATTCAGAAAACACAAGGACAATGAAATGAGATACAGCCCTCTGCTTGCAGCACGTCAGTCACGCTCGTCAGGAAAGTGAGTGAAACCAAAGACTATAGAATACCCTTAAATTTGTTATTTACTTGTTATTTCTTAAAGGGACTTTGGTGAAACACAAAAACACAATTTTTTTTTAATCAAATAATACGTCATTAATAGCGGTTCACTTCCGTGATTTGGTACGATTGCTTTCACATCAGCAGCGAACCGTACCAGAGTTCACATGAACCGTACACAGCGTAAGACAGCGTTCATCATCCAAACGAACCGAACTCTGACGTCAATCGAACCCGGGTGCGCACCAAAAGTGCTAGTGTGAAAGCACCCTTAAAGGCAGACATCCCACCTCTCCCGGAAGCTCCGGGAGTCTACCGCATAATAGTGGCTCCCTGACACCCGCAAATTAGATACAATATCCAGGAAATCGTGGAGGCAAATGAGAGAACGAGCAAGAGGAAAGAGCACCACTTAAGCGAGAGAGAGACACATGTAGTGATATATAATCATAACCGTAGCCAGCTATGAGATCACCATATGAGTGTCTGCATGTATAATTCAGTTTAGACAGTTTGCAAGAATGTTTAGCGTCCGTGGTATGAAAACCAGATCCAGCGATTATAGGCATTTTTGGATTTGTCTTTTCCACTTGATTTGACACTTTAGAAAGTTAATAGAGTGGGAAGTTGCAATTTAGGGTCAGCGATAGGGATGTAACGATTCACTCAACTCACGATTCGATTCACGATTTTTTTTTAACAAAATTAGATTTAAGACATATAAATGAAATGTGTCCTTTTATTATTGCTTGGACAAAATGCTGCACGTTTCTTTGTGAAATTGAAATATAACACTAATAATATACTAATATAGCACTTGCGTATCATTGCTCTTTTGTTGGTTTTGATTGCTTCTGTTGTCCTCATTTGTTGGTCGCTTTGGATAAAAGCGTCTGCTAAATAACAAAATTTAAATATAATGTAAATGTAAATTTTAAAACAAGCCCCAAATCAAATAAATAAGTAACACAAATAAAAGAAATCTCTTAATATAAACAAAATAAGGCGTTGTCCGTGCTCTCCTCGTTTGCCCCAATCGAAAGCATATTTACACTGTCTGCCTCGTTCCCTGTCGCCTACATTGTGCACTACGTGCCATTCACTGTACAAGAAATACTACACTGTGAACAAGTGACCGATCTCAGCCGCAGCTTCAGCGTCTATTTATAGTGTAGCGCTTCGGATTCTAGAGAGCATTTGATTGGTCAGAAGATTTGATGAGAAGCTGAAGTACAAGGTGACGTCAAAAAAATCACTGACCCGTTTTGGCGGAAGTGACGAACTGCAAGCTTTGAATGCTTATATCTTCTAAATGCGAATTTTGTCACTGTTTTGGAGCACACTGCCTTATAGATAACCTTAAGACTAACACATGGATACTAACACCCAAAAAAACTTTTAATTTTGATTTCATGGGGACTTTAAACTGTAGTAATATTTCACAGTATTACTGTTTTTACTGTATTTTTGATCAAATAAATGCAGCCATGGTGAGTATATG